GGGATCTAAATTCCACAATGAACCACCCACCTCTCCCAGGAAAAAAATCCAAAAGCTCTTTAGAAGTTCCTTTAATACCCAGACCTGGAGGTCACAGCAGGAAAAGGGAGCCAGGCTTTGAACTCAGGACACGGCAAAATAAGTTGATCTTTGAGATCCCTCCCAGCACAAACCATTCCATGATTCCTAGTTCATCTCAAGCAGGACATGACCAGTCTCACACGGACCCACCCAACCTGGCAAGCCCCGAATTATGTAAGGAATAAACACAACATAAATAAGGAAAAGTCCCTGGAGAACCTCCCTCCTGCTTTCCCCATCTCCTGCTTCCAGCCAGCTGTGACTGTGCCGAAGCAATCCTGGAGCAGTCCTGCCTGGAAGGGGACATTACAGAGGTGGAAAAGACACGGAGGAGCCTCTTTGTAATATTCCATGATCCCCCCCGGGCGAGGCGCAGAGCCGGCGCTGCTGAACGCTGCACTTTTGGATTCAATTAAAGTGATTATCTGTTGTGCCAAATAAATTGTGTCCAGCATCTATCCTGCAGGATTTTACACCTCCAGCCTCATTATTCCCTAACTGTTTCCTCCTGTTTATGCTCTCTCCAATTAAATTGCTGATAATATGAGCCAAAATAAAAAACGAGCGCACCTTGTCCGGAGAAAATTGATTCCCTTTTTTTCCTGCACCGGGCGATTGCCAGGTTTTATATACTCTGTTCCTGGCGATCATTAGTAATTCAATTTTCTTTTTATTAGCCCCCTTATCTGCTGAGCAATATAGTGGCAGAGCTGACCTCTTTCGCACGGGTAAATGTTTAAAATCTTTTCCCTGATTAATTTTGCCAGTTAAGGAAAAGAGGAGAAATGATCCGGCTCTTTGCCATCACAATGAATAAAGCTTAATGTTGATTGTGATGGAATTTCTAATGCCAAGGAAATTGATTGAACGCAGCAATTACCCCGCAATAGGAACTCCAGGGAAATGGGATGGTTTTCTCCCCGGCCGTAGCCTTTTGGTTATTTAAAACAATCCAATTTGCAAGGATAATTATATATTAGTGTTTTATCTGCCACCGGGAATGAACATGGGAATTTTGATACTGGCCCGGCATTAGCAGGTTATTGCTGCAAATTACTCCAGATCTGCTTTCTTTCACATAAAGACGAAATTAGGCCATCAATAACCAGAAAAAGGTGGACTGAGGAGATGGGAGAGGCACGAGTGCCCTCTGCAGGGCTGTGTGCGCTTCCCAAAATCGCCAGTTCTCCTGGAAAAACCCCCGATTCTCCTGCAAAAATCCCAGTTTTCCCACATGTACCACGCAGTTGTCATTCCCATTCTCCTTGTCCATACATTTGCCACATCTCTGACGTTAAAATGAATCAGAAAAAAAATCAAGAAATCTTCCTTTGAAGCACTTATTCCCAGTTTTTTCCAAGGAAAAAATCCTGGGAATAAGAAATGACAGCTCGGATGCCCAAGCAGGATGAGCCAAGGAATGTTGAGGAAAAGTTCCCAACTACCAGAACTCACTTGTCTGTCAACAAAAAATAGGTTGGGAATAAGCCTCATCCTGCAAGAAGTCCCAGAAAAAGATAGGAAAAAGCTGTTGGGAAAGTGTGGGATTCCCATATCCTCTGGCATGGGACTTTTAGGATAGGAAAAGCTGAAATATCCTGCTGTTGTTATCACACCTGGATCAGTCAAACCTCATTTAAAAGTTGGCATATTCTCTCAAAACTGATGAGAAAAAGATGCCATCCCTGAACTTTTGGGAATACTCCATCTTCGGTTTACAGAAAGCGGATAAAGGATTCCAAAGGCAACGGGACAGGACATGGACAAAAAGCTCATTTGGCATTTAGACTGGCTGGGAGAGCTGGGAATGTCCAGCCCGGAGAAGGGAAGGATCCAGGGAGACCTCAGAGCCTCTTCCAGTGCCTGAAGGGGCTCCAGGAGAGCTAGAGAGGGACTTTGGATAAGGACCTGAAATGCCAGGACACAGGGAATGGCTTCCTACTGCCAGAGGGCAGGGATAGATGGGATTTGGGAAGGAATTTCTCCCTGTGAGATTGGGAAGGTGCTGGAATGAAATTCCCAGAGAAGATGTGGCTGCCCCATCCCTGGAAGTTTCCAATGCCAGCTTGGATGCAGCTCGGAGCAACCTGGTCTAGTGAAAGGTGTCCCTACCCAGGGTGGGGATTGGAATTCCATGATCTCAAATGTTCCTTCCCACCCAAACCATTCCCTGGTTTTATCCAACACAGTGGCACCCAAGACCTTGATGATTCTTGTTGGTCCTCCAGCTTTTCCCTGGATAAGGAGACCACCACCACCTTTCATCCCTCTTCCATCACATCCCTGAGGATCCCAGAGGCCAGGGAGGCAGCCTGACCTGGAACTTTCTCCCTGCTCCACCATCCCACTGGAAAAGCTTGCATTTGGGACACACTCCAATATCTGAGCTGTTATTAAACATCCCACTTAATCAAATATTTTGGAATTAAGTCGATAAGAACTGCAGGTGGATCTCTCATAGAACAGCCCAAATAATCCCAAGAAAATTCCTGCCAATCTGCCACTTTCCATTGGCTCTCTGATCCCTAAATAAAAGCAATTCCCACAGAGGGAACTGGGCAGAGCACTGGGAAACACCAATCCCAGTTCAAGACTCAGCAATGTCTGGAAGAGCTTCCCTACTGATGAGACCAAACAGATCCACTTGGGTCCAAGAAGGGAATTGGAAAGTCAGGAGACAGACCAGCACTTGGGAAAAGCAGGAGCAATGTCTTTGTACAGCCCACAGAGCTGTGCCACAGATCCCAAAATCCCGTGGAACAGGACAAACAGGAAACCAGCCAGGCTGTGTCACCACAGGCCCCACATCCATGGGGACGGAAGGGGTTGATCCAGCTTTTCCAGCCATGCTGTCGTGCAGGAAGTTGGGAGCATTCCTCCCCTCTGTCTTTCCCTCCAGAAATGGATCCACCTCCCTGCTCCATTCCTACCCCACTCTGCCCCCAGTGCATCCCAGTAACCCCATTTACTTCCCTCACACCTGCCCAAGAGGAAATGGAAAAGACTGGAAATTCCACTGCTTTATGGTGAATAATATCCACACTTTGCCCCAAAAGAAACCAAAACAACCTTCCCAAAACCTCTTGGATAACCTGGGAGCCAGGAATTGAATCCACAAGACTTCGTTTATTCCCAGCTTCCTGTGGAACCAGAAGACACTGGCTCCACATCCATAATTATACATTTAAAGGGAACATGGGAGTTGTCCCAATCCCTGTGAGCATCCAGGATCTCCCAGACTTGGGAATATCCCTGCCCCATCCACTACCCAATAATCTTTTCCCACTAAACCTGGAAGAAAAAAAAAACAAACAGGAGTCCTGGAGCACACAGAGGAACAGCCCTGGAATAATTCCACAGCTTTCCAAAGCCAGAGTTTAAGAATATTCCAACACTTGAAGCTGTAAACCCTCTGCCTGGGATTGATGCTCTCCAAGAAAAACCTTGAAGTACAAAAGGATTCAAATCCAGAAAGTCAATTTTAATCAAAGGGAGCAAATCCAAAATTCACTGAATTTAATTTCACGGAAATCCAGGCTCTTCCTGAATTTCTCTGCAAAGGAGAAGGTGCCACACAGAGAAGCATCTGCCAGGAAAGGCTGGATAACTGGATCCACTTTTGGAGGGGGGAAAGAACTCCCTGCTTTCCCAAGGTCATTTCCAGACCTATGCCCTTTTTTTTCTTCCACTCTCCGACCTTTTTTATTTGCCAAATTCCTAAAGCCTGGAGCAAAACCACATTCCTGCTTTATCTTCTCATTCCTATCCAGTTAAAATCAAGATTTCAGTGTGGGAACATTCCCCTTAATCAAGGAACTGGGATTCCAAACAAGCTGATATCCCTGGAATCATCACTGCCTCAATTCCCTCCAAAGTTAAAATGCTGTAGCAATCCCAAATCCGTGTCTCCAGAGCTTTCTGTCTTTTCATAGAATCATGGAATGATTTGGGTCGGAAGAACTCAAAGATCATGGAATTCCACACCCCTGCTATGAACAGGGACAACTTCCACTATCCCAGGTTGCTCCAATCCCCATCCCAGCTGGCCATGGTCAATTCCAGGGATCCAGGGGCAGCCACAGCTTCTCTGGAAATTCCATCCCAGCCCCTCACCACCCTCCCAAGAATTACTTTCCAATTTCCCATCTATCCCTGCCCTCTGGCAGTGGGAAGCCATTCTCCCTTGCCTGGCACTCCATCCGTTGTCCAAAATCCCTCATCCAGGAAAACTCGACAACATCTCAATGGAGCTGTTTGAACACCAAATAATCCCAAAATATAACTGGAGACAAATCCCAGCTACATCTGATCCCCTCTCCCAGCTCCACCAATTCCCACAGGGAATTTTACAGGGCCACAGGGAAAATGTGCCTCATATCCATCTGAAACAACTGAATCCCAAGTGTGGGAAGCCTTTTAGCCACAAAAATATCCCTAGGGAACAAACAGAAGAACCAGACTTGGAGCCACCAACATCCCAAGAACATTCCAAACACATGGTGGTGCCACTCTGAGCCCCGAGTTCTGCTCCAAGACAGCAGGACACGGATGCAAATTCCCTGTTCCCAAACATGATGGATTCAGTATTCCACTAATTACTAGTGTTTTAAGCAAATTAGATCAAAACTGGACACCACACTGGGATACAGGTGAGAGATTTGTGTACTCCTGCCTCTGCCAACCTCTTCCTGCTTGGAAAACTTCCTGAAAATCCAGGGAAACCCCAGGGTTTTTTTTTTTTTGTTTTTTTTTTGTGGAGATGCCAAAAGGACAACACAGATATGCAGTCAAACTTCTCCTCGGCGTTTGCCCCAGGACCAACAACACCTCCAGGAGGACGCAACAACACATTCCCAAATCCAAGAACCCTTGGAATGACTCCACCGAGTCCAGTGAGCCCTTGGAATGCCCGTTCCTACCTTCCTTGGTGGCTGCCTGTGTCCTGGTCGCCGGCATCCGGCAGAGCCGGTGCTTGGAAATCTGCACCAGGCCCCGGGGCGAGGAGCGCTTCACCGTCACCAAAGGTTTTCCCCGCATGGAATTTCTCCTCCGGAGGTGGAAGCGACTCTTCAGAGCTGTGGTGGGGGAGATGTTCTTCTTATCCGTGGGGGAACTGGGAAAGGGAACGTCACACAGTTAGGAGGGAGTAGGGAAGTGACCAAAATGCTCCTGGTGTCCTTCTCCAGGGCTCCAAGAGAGTCAAATCCCACCAGGATTCTCCTCTGGCTGAGAGGGGAGAGGAGAAGCTCTGAAGAGAAAATTCCAAGGAAACGGGCAAACGTGAGGAATTCCTGGCAAGGAACAGATGGAGAATGAGGTGTTTGACAGCCAAACTTACTCACTGCCTTCTGCTCAACAGATGTGAGGGATTGAATCATGGGATCATGGAATGGTTTAGGTTGGAAAAGACCTCTGAGATCGTCAAATCCAAGCATTTCCCAGCAGTGTCAAGGACACCACTGATCATGTCCCTAAGTTCCACATCCACAGGGATCTTAAATCCCTCCAGGGATCAGGATTCCCAATGCCTGACCACCACAGGAAGGAATTTTCCCAATATCCAAACTAAACCTCCCGTGGAGCAGTTTGAGGCTGTTTCCTCATGTCCTGTCCCTTGTTCCCTGGGAGATCCTGACTTCACCCTCCTGTCAGGGAATTTAGGGAGCCACAACCCTCAGCCTCCCTCTCTCCAGGCTGAGCTCCCTCAGCTGCTCCTGGTGCTCCAGACCCTTCCTCACCTCCATTCCCAACTCTGGACATGCTCCAGATCCTCAATATCCTCCCCCCAGGATCTGAGGAGCCTCAGCAGTGCCCAGCACAGGGGGATGATCCCTTCCCTGGTTCTGCTGGAATTTACCAATGTGTGGGACGTCTCCCTGAACTGCCAAAAATTCCCAAACATTCCCAGCTTCTCCAGGCTGCTCCAGAGTGATTTTCCCAGCACAATCCACCCACTGATAGTTCTCCACGCAGAGCAGGAGGGCAAGGCAAGGAGGGAAACCTGCTGGGAAGCACTGAAAGGATGTGGGAAACAGAAGCAGGAATCAATACAACAACTATGGGAATTTGAAATTAAATCAAGGAAAATGCAGATTCCTTTGCTGAGTGAGGAAGTGTCAGTGACCACAGGGATTCACAGGATCCAGCTCCGGATCGCCCCACATCAGGAGGACATGGAACTGCTGGAGCTAATCCAGAGGAGGCCATGGAGATGCTCCAAGGGATGGAGCCCCTCTGCTCTGGAGCCAGGCTGGGAGAGCTGGGAATGTCCAGCCTGGACAAGAGAAGGATCCAGGGAGACCTCAGAGCCCCTTCCAGAGCCTGAAGGGGTTCCAGAAGAGCGGGAGAGGGACTTTGGATAAGGACCTGAAGTGCCAGGACACAGGGAATGGCTTCCTACTGCCAGAGGGCAGGGATAGATGGGATATTGAGAAGGAATTCTTCACTGGGAGGGTGCTGAGTCCCTGGAATGGAATCCCCAGAGAAGCTCTGGCTGCCCCATCCCTAAAGTGTCCAAGACCAGGCTGGATGGGGCGTGGAACAGCCTGGGATAGTGGAAGGTGTCCCTGTTCATAGCAGGAGTGTGGAATTCCATGATTTTTAAGGTCTTCCCACCCAAACCACTCCACGATTCCATAAATCCTCCAGCACACAACAACCCTCACTGGAATTTCTCCCCACAGCCACAACTTGAAACCCACGGACGCAAAATCCAAACCAACAACTCACCCCACATTCCCTTTCCTCTTGATGATTTTTGTCCGACTCTTCACTTTGTAACTGGACAGTGCAGCCTCTCCAGAGGATTTCATCCCACCGGGAACAACGGACGCCGCGCTTGAAGCCGGCGTGACACAGACGGTTCGAGGGATACTTGGGGCTGGAGCCTTCCTCTGGTCCTCGGATCTCCACTGGAATGCTGACTTGGAAGTGGAAGGCAAAGCCTGCAAGCCGGAGGCTTTCCATTTATATTTACTGGGAGAAACCCCCAGCTTGGACTGCAATCCCACTTTCTTTATCTTCGCTCCCAAATCCGCTTTGGGGGAGATTTTAGCACCTTTGTCCGCTCCTGCAATTCCCTTCTTGGAATTTTCGGCTCGAGGGCTCGCCCACCTCTTCACAATCCGAGAGCTTTTCCCAGGGTTTGCCACCCAGGTGTAGTTGTTTTTCCTGAATTTCTGAGATTTGCTGGAGATGGGTGCTGAGGCAGCTTTTTGGAGAGTGGGAGCTTTGGGAATTACGGGAAATCTGCTCTTCACCAGAGCCACCCCAGCAGCCTGAGCAGGTCGAGAGAGCAACTCAGTGTTCCCAAAGAGTTTGGGATGTAGGGAAGCATCCTCACCACTTGGCTGCCCTGGAGAGAGTGGTTCTGCCTTGATCTGTACCAAGTGCTGGGCTGGCTCCTGACCCGGAAATTCCAAAGGTTTTTGTGGCTCCGACTTCAGCGCCACGGCACTTTCACTGGTGCTTCCAGAGGCGGAAAAGGAGCTCCCGGCTCCGCTGCCAGGCAGGCACACAGTCCTCGAGGTGGAACTGAAGGAAATGGATAGGGAAGGTCTTCTCTCTTCTTCCTGGAGAAGAGATTTCTGGATGTTTCCATCCGCCGAAGGAGCCACCGCCGCTCCCCGCCTGGAAAAATCTCCGTAAGGACCCACGTTTTCCTGGCCAGCCCTTTGTGGCACCTGGATATCCACAACGATGTTCCCATCCGTGGTGAAGTCCACGTGTCTCTCCGGGGACGATTCCGGTGCCTCAGGAGTCTGGCTGTTCCCAAGGCTCCCAAAACCCTGGGAATTGCTGGAAGCACTTCCAGCGTCATACCCCGATCCCGGCAGCCGGTTGTCCAGGGAGTATTTTTTCCTCCAGGAGTGAGTCTGGCGTGGGTGGAAATTCCTGGGAGCCTGCTGGGAGTACCTGGTGGAAAAGGCTCCTCTCCTGGTGTAGCCAGGCTGGTGGGGGTTGTTCCACCTTGGAGGAGCCGATGGCGCCGGACGTGGGACATTCCCGTGCATGTTCCTGTGGCTGTTTATGAGACCTGTGGGAGAGAAGACAGAGCGTTAATTCCCTGATCCCGTGGGAATCTGAGAGCAACACAGAGCTGCTCTTCCTTGTGCCGGAGTTGCATCATCACTCGGGTTCCAGATGGTGAGCCAGGGTGGAAGGAGAAGTCATGGAATCACAGTCCAGGAATGGTTTGGGTTGGAAAGGACCTTCAAGAAAATCTGGTTCCACGTCCCTGCCACATCCCTGGATTCCCCGAGCCCCATCCAGTTCGGCACTGGACACTTCCAGGGATCCAGGAGCAGCCACAGCTTCTCTGGGAATTCCATCCCAGCCCCTCACCACCCTCCCAGGGAGAATTCCTTCCTAAAATCCCATCTATCCCTGCGCTCTGGCAATGGGAAGCCACTCCCTGTGTCCTGGCAGATCCTGATTCCACCTGAACTCCACCCTCCTGCCAGGGGATTTTAGGGAGACAGAAGGTTCCCCCTGAGCCTCCTTTTCCCCAGGATGAGCCCCCCAGCTCCCTCAGCTGCTCCTGGTGCTCCAGACCCTTCCCAAGTTCCCTTCCTTGCTTCCCTCCAAAGCAACAACAAGGAGACTCCAAGGCTCTGCTGTTGTGTCACTCTGGAAGCCAACACCCCAGTTAATTTGGGAATTTCTGCCCTTGTCCAGGCTCAGTCTTTAGAAAACCTTTCCCATGAGTGATTCCCAAAGGAATTTGGAGCCTGGTATTTCAGGCAGAGTTTTTCCTTCACCGGGGTCACGGTGCTGCCAGGAGAGCTGAGTCAGCACATTCCTCATGGAAAATCAAGGATTCTTTTCCTCCCTCTCACCATTCCCCCACGCAGGAGCTCCTGGAGAGGCAAATCCCAAGTCCTGAGTGGAGACTGGCCTCACTAACAAGGAAAATTTACTCTGAAGGACAAAACATAGAGGGATTTGGTGCTAAAATAAGCTCTGGTGCTTTCCAGAGCTTGGGAAGGGCACATGGATCCATATCCCACCTCTGTGCTCCCAGCCCAGGGCTGTGGGACAGGGAAAAGCCCCTTCCCAAAGCCAGGAGAGTCCCAGATCCTGCTGAGAGCAACACTGTGGGAATTCCCTGGTGTGGGGATCCCAAAATCCCCCAGCACTCCATGGGCTCTGTTCCCTCCCTTTCCCTCCCTGCCTTGGCCCACTCAGCTTTCCTGAGTCTTTTCTCTTTCCACCTTTTCCCAGTAGTCCCTGGATCACTTCCCTCTTCTCCCCTTTTCCTTCCTTCTCCCAGCACTCTGGGATCTTCTCCATCCCCATCCCACTCACACTCCCCTCCTAAAATCCAACTTCCCTTCCACAGCTCGTCCCTCCCCCACCAGAGACTCCCCAGGTCCCATCACAACCTGTCCCTGTCCCACCTCACATTCCCAAAATTCCCTTAAAACACCGCACCACTCTCCAAGATGCCCAGATTTCCCCTTATCCCTCCTCCAGGTCCTCTCACATTGCTCCCAGCCACTCCCTGTTTCCCGACCCCGGCCTCTTTTCCTCCTCCCTCCCTCCCTCCCTCCCTCCCTCCCTTTTTCCCCCGTTCCCCTCGGTGTTCCCTCGTTTCCCGGTGTCCCCCCGATCCCTTCACACCCTGGAACGCTCGGATCTCCCGGCACAGCCTCTCCCATTCCCGATTCCCCCCGATTCCCCCAGTTCCCGCACCCTGGAGCGCTCGGATCTCCCGGCACAGCCTCTCCCATTCCCGATTCCCCCCAGTTCCCGCACCCTGGAAAGATTCCCTCTCCCGGCACAGCCTCTCCCATTCCCGATTCCCCCCGATTCCCCCAGTTCCCGCACCCTGGAGCGCTCGGATCTCCCGGCACAGCCGCTCCCGTTCCTCCATTCCCGCAGCTCTCCCGCACGGCTCCGCGGCGCTGTGACGTCATCAACCGGCGCCGCCCGACGCCAACGGACCCACGTGAGCGCTCCTGAACGGTCACGTGATGCCCGCCACCGTTGCCGGGCAACGGGGTCGGGACAGCGCGGCCTAAACTGGGCCCGGGCCTGGGCCTGGACTGGGCCTAACCCAGCCCGGCCTGGCTGTCCCCAGCCTGGGATAGTAGCCTGGTTGTCCTCTGTTACCATCTCAGCCTGGTCCAGCTGTCCCCATTTCTCCTGTCCCTGTGAAATACAAAGCTGTGTTTCGTGTCAGGTACATACAGGCAACGTGTGTATTTGTGATTATGCTAAGTGTGGAAACCGACCATGGGACAGTTAGAAAGACGAATTCTAATAAATAACTGAGGAAGTAAAGCATGGAAGAAGGCCTTTGAACCTATCCTTTGTTCACAATTAACCTTTATAAGTCTTAAGTTGATTTAGAAGCATTTGAAGTAAAGCTTTAAGGATGTTGCTGTTTGACAGGAACTGTCCCCATTTCTCCTGTCCCCATCCCAGTCTGGCCCAGTTGTCCCCATCTCCAATGGTCAGATGGCTGCAGCATTTTTCCTATGACTGTTGTCCCAAAAAAAGGTTCTTCAACACAGGGTGCAAGAGCCTGATCCACAAACTGAGCCAAAATACTGGAATTATTTACAGTTCTGCACAGAAAAGGGGAAGCTGTTTTTTCCTTCTCCTGGCCTTGGTTGTTCCTCCACCTCTCCCTGGTCCATTGGTTCCATGTTCAGTTGGATTGGGGTTTGGGTGATATTTCATCCCAAGTTTCTTCTTCTCTCCTTTCTCCACATCTGCAGCTCCCGAGGCTTCAGTAAGACTGCAATTACCGAGACATGTGAAACACAAATTATCTACTTGGAAACTGTAGATATCTGTAGAAATCTAAAAAAAACCTGTAGATAACTGTAGAAATCTTGGAGCCAGGCTGGGAGAGCTGGGAATGTTCCGCCTGGAAAACAGAAAGCTCCAGGGAGACCTCAGAGCCCTTTCCAGTGCTTAAAGGGGCTTTAAGAGAGATGGGACAAGGGATGGAGTGACAGGACACAGGGAATGGCTTCAAACTGACAAAAGACAGGATTAAATGGGATACTGGAAAACATTCTTCCCTGGGAGGGTGGTGAGGTCCTGGAATGGAATTCCTGGCGAAGCTGTGGCTGCCCCATTCCTGGAAGTGTTCAAGGCCAGGTCAGATGGGGCTTGGAGAAACCTGGGATAGTGGAAGGTGTCCCTACCCATGGCAAGGATTGGAATGGGATGATCTTCAAGGTTTCTTCCAACAGAAACCATTCCAGAATTCTGGGACCTCCTGCATCGAGGTAAATTTGGTCCAGCTGTCCCCAGCCCTGGCTGTTCCCATTCCCTGACTCCTGTTCTCTGTCCTCTTTCCAGCCTTATCCATCTCTCCCAGCTGTCCCAAACCTCTGTCCATGTCCCCATCCCCTGTCCCCTCTCCCATCACCAGTGTCCTCCCACAGCCAGGCACGAGGGGGAGATTTTCCTGGTGATCCAAAGGAAAATCTCCAGCAAGGAAATGTTAATTCCACCCATCAGCCTCGTGATTCCCTATTTCCCACACTTTGGCTGTCATTTTTAAAATGTTTCACAGGAAAACTGGTCTCAAAACTTCAAATTTACTGTGGAAGTGAAGAAAATCCTTAAGGAGCTTGTTTTCCAAATAATTTCGTTCTTCCTCAAGGGAATAAACCCTTAAATAAAGAGCAGCAGAGCCTCAAGTGTGCAAAGGAGATAAAACTCCAGCCTGAAATTATTCAGGGAACAAAAAGCCGAGCCAAGGAGCTGGAGCAACACGACACCAGGATGGAACATTTGGAAAAGCAACCCATTATCAACCTCAAATCCTTTAAAACAGACGCTGTCCCTTGGGATATCTCACTTCCTAATGCAGCCAGGGAGTGCTGCCTGTCCCAGCTCTGATCAAATGACATCTCTGGGACGAGCCCACAATTTCCTTGCTTGGAAAGGGAGATTTAGTAAATTATTTTTGGTGTTTTGTGGCATTTTAAAGGGGAATGTGGGAAGAACCAGCTTGTTAGGATAAACTATTTTGTGAGAAAAGGCTTCAAAACACAAAAAAAATTAGGGAGTTTGACCCTAAAACTGCTAAAAAATACCCCAAATCCTCTCTTTTTTCCAAGTTTTGCACACATGGGAACAGGCTGGGAACCAGGCAGGCAGGAATGACAGATCTCCTCCCTTTGGGCAGCCTCAGATCAGCTTCAATAGATCCCAAATCCCACCCAGAGTTTCATAATGGCTTTAAACTGACAGGAATTGGCACTTGTGCCAAAAAAAATCCTCCTCCACTCCCAGCTGCTCCTTCCCTCCCTTGTGCTGGCACGGGGAGTGGAGTGCTTTGCATAAAAGAGCTCGGAACGAGCTGCTCTGAATTGAAATTAATTCAGCACACGTGGAGGAAAAGCTCATTTTTAACCCAGGGAAGCCGTGGATCCACCACTCCCACAAAATCCAACCTCGGGAAAAGGCGAACTCAAAGCTGTTTTACCAATTTATGCCAAAATTTGTAAGGAGAAAATGCAAAGCTTGGAGAATCTTGGACCACTTGGGGTCATCCTTGGATGTTTTCCATCAGGAGAGCTTTGGGATGGGGGTATCCAGAGGAGAAGCAGCATTTTAAGCATGAACTGGATCTTCTCCAGGGAATAGAGAGGAGCATCCTGCCTCGGGACAAGCAGCTGGCAGAAATTTCCCCTGGGATTTGTGCAGAGGGCAAAGGACAGATGAAGATGTTAAAATATTAAAATAAACTTCTTTTATTTTTTTCCTCCCCGGCTTTCCAGCCCATTCCTGTCACAAGCAATATATCCAAAAAGAATTCATGGCACTTTTAATTCACAGCACTAAGTTTCTATGACACTTTGGAAGTCAATAATTTAATTTTTTTAAAAGAAGGGGAAAAAAAATCAAGTGTGAGGTTTTGAGTGCGAGTAAACATCCCAGGGAAGGGAACACAGGGAAGAAGAATTAAATTATCTCATTCAGCCCAAAAATGAATCCTTTCAATGTCCTAAAACATCCAGTGACATGTGTGCCATAGGATCCCTGGATCCTGAAACACCCAGTACTGCCTGGGATCCATTTGCAGGAACAGCATGTGTGGGACATCATGGAATCATGGAATGGTTTGGATTGGAAGGGACCTTCAGAGTCATGGAATTCCACCCCTTTCCATGGGCACCCCTTTCCATGGGCACCTTCCACTATCCCAGGCTGCTCCAAGCCCTGTCCAACCTGGCCTGGAACAATTCCAGGGATGGGGGCAGCCACAGCTTTCCTGGAATGTCTTCCAGCACTTGTGAGTCTCTGGGATCATTGTATTAAGATTTCAGGGAGATGCCTTAATTAAAGTGTAAAAAAAACAGAGACAATCCAGGAGGAAGTGGAAAATCAAGAGAGTGAAGGTTTAAAACCTGTGTAGTCCCAAGGTTGGTGGTTGTTCCCTGCATCCTTTTCCTGAAGGATTGGGAAGAGTCTGGAGGTGAATGAGTGACCCATTCCCTGCTGTGCCAGCACCATCCATGGCATGGATAATGGGATGTGATCTGGATGCAGGAGTTTTCCTTTTCCTTTTTCTTTTCCTTTTTTCCTTTTAATTTCCTTGTCCTTCCCCTTCTCCTTTCTCCTTCTCCTTCTCTTTCTCCTTTTTCTTTCTCCTTCCCATCTCTCTCTCCTCCTCTTCCTCCCCACCCTCCTTTTCCTTCTCCTTTTCTTTGCCTCTTTCTCCTTTCTCTTCTCCTGCTTTTTCTTCTCAACATTTCTGGGGATGGAGCATCCACAACATCCCTGAGCAGCCCGATCCAGCCTCTCACCATCCTCACAGTGAACAATTTCGTCTTTATCTCAAATCTAAACCTCTCCCTTATGTTTAAATCCATCACCCCTCATCCTGTCCATCCAGGCCCCACTAAAAACCCTTCCTCCCATTCCTACAGAAATCCATGGACACAGCCCCAGCTCTGAGAGGAGCTCAGCAATTATTTACCACCGAAAAAATTTGCTTCTTCTACAAAATGTTTTTCCTATTTTAACTCCAGTGGGGGGGGGGGGAAAAAAGGGCTTCCCAAGGGCAAACAAACTCTTGACTCACATTTTTCTGCTGATAACAGCAAGACTCCAGAGGGAAGGAGATATCTCCTGGGTTAGATGGAAAACAGAGAGGAAAATGTCAGGAACAGGTGAAGAAATGGCTGCAGGATCCTAAAGGAAAAGCTGCTGTCATTTATTGAGTAAGTGCTGGTTTTTTGTTGTGGTGTCTGGTTTTTGGGGATGTTTCTTGCCTCTGGTGGCGCTGCCAAGGCAGAAGCTGCACACAGACCTGAATCCACGTGTTTGGGAAAGGGTGAAACCAGAGGGATGACCTCTGTGCTTCCATGTCGTTGTCATTCCCAGCAGGAATTGTTTTCCAAGGTATTTCAAATGGGGACAGAGAGCAAATCCTCTTCTTTCTCCTCTTTGTTCACCCACTGAATCCAGGATGGCTCATTTGGCAATTCCATGGAGGCAGAAGGACCAACCGTGGATCAAAAACCTCAGCTACAAATCAATTAATCCAAAAATATCCTAAATCTACCACTCTGTGGGAATGGGATCGTGGGGGATGTGACACCCCATGGCAAAATGAGATTCCTTTGTTGAGTGAGGAAAGGAAACCACAGGGACTCACAGGACCCAGCTCTGTGGTCTCCAACAGCAGAAGGACCTGGAGCTGCTGGAGCAAATCCAGAGGAGGCCACGGAGATGCTCCAAGGGCTGGAGCCCCTCTGCTCTGGAGCCAGGCTGGGAGAGCTGGGAATGTCCAGCCTGGACAAGAGAAGGATCCAGGGAGACCTCAGAGCCCCTTCCAGAGCCTGAAGGGGTTCCAGAAGAGCGGGAGAGGGACTTTGGATAAGGACCTGAAGTGCCAGGACACAGGGAATGGCTTCCTACTGTCAGAGGACAGGGATAGATGGGATACTGGGAAGAAATTCCTCTCTGAGAGGGTGGTGAGGGGCTGGGATGGAATAACCAAAGAAGCTGTGGCTGCCCCATCCCTGGAAGTGTCCAAGTCCAGGCTGGATGAGGTTTGGAGCACCCTGGGATAACAGAAGGTGTCCCTGTCCATGGCAAGGGGTGGAACTGGGTGAATTTGAAGGTCCCTTCCAACCCAAACCATTCCATCATTCTGATATGACTCCACCATATCCTGGCAATGGAATCATGGCTTTTCCTTTGCCAATTCCAAAGGATAGATTCAATCCACCAGGAAATCGTGGCAGAATTCCCAAAAATATTTGTTCATGTGCAAACATCTGTATTGATCCAACTTCAGCTGTGAAGGGGAGAGGACTTTGCTCCCCAAGTGCTTGGGCCTTGGACTTTTCCCTGCTTGGAAAGGTTGAGAAAAAAAATCCATACACTGCCAATTGCAAATATTTGGATTGGGAATATGGTT